CGCCTCGGGCGGTTTCGAACCAGCGACCTTTCGTTCAGTAGCCCGACGCGGTACCTCTGCGCCACAAAGGGAAGTGAATATTCCGAACGTAGACTTTGTATGCAAACGTGGGTAGTGCTAGGGTTCGCCGCTCTGTTACGCTCTGTCAAGTGTAGTTTATGGTTGGTGATGCTTCCACAAGGTGGCGCTTGAGGTCGCCGTCGCCGCACCAATCAGCGTACTCCCCGCCTACGTCGTTGACTCGTGGGAAAGTGTGGGGACACGCCGCTGGATGGCGCCATGTGCCGTGTGGTTGGTGATATTCCCACAAGATGTCGCGAGTCCTGTGGCTTATCGCGTCATTTGTGCGGTGTCGTCACACCAATCAGCCTAGGGCATTTTCTCTTTATTTATATATATATATATATCTTCTCTATAAAGACTCCGCACATTAGTTATGGAAGTGAGACGACCGATCGCCATGCATCAAATAGCTGCCATCGTGCTTTCCCTTCCAATCATCTACATTATTGTCTTTGGACTTGCCACGTCTCAACCAAACCCTTACGGACATTGCACACTCGAGACAAGTTTGACGGAAGACATCAAAGTTCATCGATGTTCAGACTCTGTTTTGGCAATACGTGCCTGGATGAAAGTGTACTATCCCGAGAAAATCGGCGTAAACTTGGACAAAAAGCAGACTCGCAACCTAAAACAATGTCTTCACGAGGCCGACGTTCGTGTCTTGCGGAAACATGACCTACAGTGCGAAGACACTTGCAATATAAGTGAGTCGATGTATCTTCGTCGATGTCCATTCAATGTGTATCAAATTAGACGAGTGATCGGTGGTAAACCCTCGATGTATGGGATAAATTTAGATCACGAGGCAACATTGCGTCTCTTGGAGTTTTTGAATAAAGAGTAATAAAACACTCTACGTGTGTGTGTCTCAAACAAATCTGCAGAGTCTGTTGAAAGACTCATTGCAGTGTGAAGAACAACATCGTATACATTTTTTTTTGTTTATTTTTCAAAATCACCTGCCCTAACCCAACTGTTGTGAGAGGAATCATAGCCTCTCCATTTCACGAGGTATTGGAGATCAGGCGCACGTCGTTTTCTCAAAATCTTCTCGATGGTCCAGGCCTTGTTTTCGGGGTTGGAAACACGTTGCAACTCAGCTTCGTAGAAGGAACCGAGAACGAGCTCTTTTCTCAACAGGTCGACGAGGTAATATGTTGTGGGAATACCTAGTCGGATTCTGTCGACAAAAAATACCTCATCTGTGAAGGACTGTTTGTACTTTTTTAAAAGAAGGTGTCGTTCTATGGATATGCGCACATAATCCCCGATCCGAAATTTCGGTTTCTTGGGTGCTCCCGACGGAGGAGGGAAAAGATGAAGAAAGAAATCTGTCTGATTCACCTCGGTGACGTCGATGGGTCGAGCACCCAGCGTTCCGTGGTAGCTGTGGTTGTAGGATTTTACGATTTTGGGAAGGATCTCTATTAACCGGCTCGTTCTTGCATACTCAAAGTATTTATAGATCCGACTCATAATGGTTTTTTGCACGCGTTCTACTATGGAAGCCTTTTGCTTTGAAAACACAGAATACAATTTAACTCCCTGCTTATTCAGATATGACACGACTAATTTCCCGTAAAACTGATGGCCGTGGTCCGTGCATAGAAGCCTACTTTTCTTCATCCTACGAAAGACGATTTTAAGCGCTCTCACGACCTCTTCTCCCGTCTTTCGAGCGATCGGAACGGTGGAGAGAAATCGAGAAAACGTATCGATCACAAACAAAATGTATCTTTTTCCATCATTATATTTGGCAATTTTTTGGATTTCCACAAGGTCCGCCTGATAGACGTCTCGAAGTCCCAGGGACAGCGTCTTGCGGTATAGACGAGGGCGTTTGGTTTCCCTAAACAAGGTGTAAGCGTCAGATCCCTCTAACAACTTTTCCGCCGTTCTTCGGCCCGTATGCCTGACAAGTCTATTGACTCCACCGAAGGATGCGGGATGGGCTGCTTTGTAGTAGACCGCTTTGCTTTCCTTCTCTGACGACGGCATCTCGACTTCCGTCGGTAAGACTGAGCGCGAAAGGCTGACCGGTCCAGGAAGTTATTAACTACGGCGGAAACTGCACCTCTCACCCAGGAAGGTTGTCTATTGTAGAGCTCGTAGCGTAGTAGATCGATTATGTTGGATTCATCGATCCTCTTTCCGTGAACAACCAACTTTCCATCGGGGGTGTAGGCAATCACCGACAAAATGCTCTCCAAGAGCCCCTGAACCTTCTTTCTTTGACGTGGAGGAAATGAGGAAAAAATTAGCTCGTCGTTGAAGTAATCTTCGTCTAAAATATCTTCCATGCCTTATCTAGCACTCGTTTAGATGTCCGTGGAGCAGGATCAGCACAGGCCTCTGCAGCAGCAACAGCGAAGGTCGAAGGTGAGTGCGGCGATGATGATGATTCTTGCTGCTCCGAGGAACGCTTCGGTGAAATATTCGGAGAGGAGGATCCTGCTCGACTGGTCGATCCTGCTTTGACCACTCTTCCTTTAAAGCGATCGTAGTTTACGTTGCTCGTCGGCAGATTTTGTTTGACCAATAGCGTCGCGACACGTTCGAAATGAATGGGAACTGGCATCTGTTTCGCTCGCGTAATTAGATAAGAAACCACATCAATGATATTTGACTCATGGAGAGGCTTCTCGTCAATTATAATCTCTAACGTGTGTGGGTCTTATGCAATCACTGGTTTTAACAAATTTAGAAGTGATCGACCTTTTTCCCTATAGGTTTTGCTCAAAATATTGACGACTGCATTGATATCGCGATCTTCCGTGGTATCGTTCGTCTGCGTCATTTGTTCTCTCGTAAAGGGAGTCGTTTCCTGAGGCATGACGTTGTTAATATCAGGATTGTGCGGACGTAAACTTTTATGAAGCGTCTGAATCATTTTTTTCAGTTTGACGTCATCCGCTTCCCCCTCTTGTATTAAAATATCAGGAATATGCTCTTCTTTGTAAGGTATGAGATGGTGTTTCTTCATTTTCACACTCCGATGGCCTTGGCGATAGCTCTTCCTCCGAGCGTGGATAACAGACCCAAGAGAGCCGGAAGGATCAAAGGTAAAAAGCCTCCTTTCTGTATCAATACCCTTTTTATATTCTTGTGACATTTCTTTCGGTTTCCTAATGATCTTATGTGGAGTACAAACCTCTTTACCTTCCTTTTTATAATTGGTGTGAGTGGAACGTTTCCTCTGCAAAGGTTTAAGCAAATTTCGCGAATGATGTTTAGATGTCCCTTTTTGACGTCACGAAGAAGGACTTCTCTTTGTCTAGACGATTTAGCTTTGGACAAGAGGTGCAAAAACCGTGCATGTCCCTTCAAACGATTCATGAGGAAGTGTCGTAGACGACTTCTGGTCCCTCGTCCGGCAAGATCCTTGTTCTCACGCGGAAATTATCGGGGCAAGTTCGCGACAGGTCGATCAGGATGTAACTGAATGGTGTTTTACACGCGTCCGAATATATACGCGGAAGGACATGCCCTCTCTTCCCTCCAAAGAGCTGTCGAGATAGTACCTGGAGTTGATCGACAATCCTCACCGATCGGAATATCATTAGAGCCGTAGAATTTAAGCTGATTGTTCGAAAGTATGAATCTTGGTGAAACATGTTCTGAGTAATGAAAATGACGGAGGCGTTATAGTGGTGAGCAGCGCCTATGAAATACTCGCATATCTCTTTCAGTTTTGTCCTATTTGAGAGAAAGTCGTCGAAAATAATTAGCGAGTTTGTCTCGGGATCCAAATTTTCCGGAATGTCCTTAGTGAACACAACGTCCGGGTGATCTTTAAAAACCGGTTGCTCGTAAACGTACACGTAGAAAATGACGTCCAACTTCTTATCAAACATTTCCTTTCTATAATGCAACAATTTACGAATATACATGCTTTTGCCTGATTTCGAAGAACCAATCATTGTTACAGACGCGGGCGTCTCAAATTGGAATTTATTGAGAACGAGCGTCATGACGGCCGGTTTGCAAATGTGAAAGGCAGTGTATCTACACATTTCTATATACGCCGAATACCTTTACCACCTTCCTTACGAAAATACACGATGAGACGACCCGCCAGCTTCCCTCGCGCTGGCTTATCATAACCATAAACTCAGAAGCAACCGACCCTGGTGTCGAATTCTCACTTAACACGCACAGCCGTTCGTTAGTTCGTAAACAGATTGCTTTAAAGCGAAAAGCTGAAACAACAGAAACCTAATACGATGCACGGTGTCAAATTCGCGATTGTGGAGGCTGTCACGTCCAGACATGTCTCGCGGTGCCAATCGTTTTGTAAACAGGCTGCTATAAAACTGACGGACGTCCACCGTTTCTTCAGAGCGTGCCACTACACGTGAGGTGAGGGGGAAAATATTTGAAACGCGTTTATTTTGTTTTTAACATACATTTTTATATCAGGAGCCCACTGCCGCCACCGCCGACCCAATGATGGAGAACCTCCTGGACAAGCTTAACTCCTTGAAATCGCCGTCAAACTTTGTTAAGATGGATCTGATTCCGTCTGATGTCAAGCTGCCTGTGTTAGACATTGGACGTTTAGACACACGTTACGGACCGTTCGTCTTCGTATCCCTCCAGCTGTCAGACGACATTGTCAAGGTATTTTTGCCTAAACGATTTTCAGAGCTCAGTGACGAGGAGCTTGAAAGTATGCGTCACATGACGGGATTAGTACTAGAGAAAAGCAAGGGTGACGGACGGTCACCCATCATTGTCTTCTCGAAATTGGACATTTAGGTGTCTTTTTTTTTATTTTCTCAGAAATGGTAACCTGCCACTTGTGTAACGTACGGGAGAGGCAAGAATATTCCAGCGCAGAGGCATTACAAGTTCATCTGGCTCTTGTACATAATGTTCCCTATCAAGATTGCATTCCATTTTGTGAAGGCCTCTGCGCTTTTCGAAACTTTACGATGCGCTATGATACGTATTTGCACGAGCGCGACGACGAGGCTCACGACGTCTCTACACTGTTCCGTCATCACTCAGATGCAATGTCCAACGTATTTAGACATTACGGAATGCCGCTGCGTTTTCTTATCACGTTAACCGCAGAACTGACACGACTTAACTCCGAAGGCGAATTTGACTTTAGCGTGCATTACTTTCACTCTTTCGTTCACACGATCTGGGCCGAGGGTAACATCGCTAGCGCCCTGCAGCTTGCCTACGGCGAGATAAACGCCCGTCTAGAGCAGTATCAGGAACGTGGGTCGGGTTTCGCGCTCGTCGCAATCCAACAATGTAGCATCACAGTTGGACGTTTCGTTCCCCAGAGGGTCGGATGTCAAAGTTTCACTTTGCCGAAGGAACTGGCAAACAAACAGTGTATTTTGAATGTGAACGAACGCATGAAGGACTCCGAAAGAAAAATGTGCTTCACCTTTTCCGTGCTTGCGGGGTTGCATCCCACTCAACATAAAACGAGAGCTTCCTCATACAGGGACCATCTGAGCAAATATTCGTTTCCTTTAAACTATCCAGTGACGTTTCCAGAAGACGTAGAGACTTTCGAAAGAAAAAATCGCGTGTCCATCAACGTGTACGGTTACGAACGGGAAAAAAAGTTTGTCTATCCTCTCAAAATCAACGATCACGAGTTGGAAAAGCATGTAGATTTGCTCTTGATTGACGACCACTTTGTCCTCATCACCAACTTCGCCGGGCTTTTCGAAAACAGGGCTAGCTACCGATTCCGTTGTAAAAGATGCATGATGGGTTTTCGTTTTCGGACTTCTCTAACCAGTCATTTTGCCTTGTGTAAAGAAAAAAAGCCAGTCCGAACGGTCTCTCCTAAAAAAGGGGACGCGCTTTATTTCCGTAACACTCACCTCATGGAGCCTTTTCCATACTTCTGCGTCTACGACTTTGAGGCCATCTTGAAACCGGAAAACACGGATCACGTTTACGAGAGTCACGTACCCAGCTCGTTTTGTATTCTAGTGATCCGTTCTACAGACTCACGAATCATGGAACGTTTCTTGTATCGAGGCGAGGATTGTGTCGAGCAGTTCATTTCCATCCTCAATCAAATGTCCAAACTCATTCCCGAGTGGATTAGGAGCGATCTCACGACGGTCAAAAAGACACAGAGCTCCGGCAGTTACTGTGATGTATGTGGCGAGTCGTTCGACAAACGTAAAAGAAAGGGCAAAGATCATTTTACCGGACCTTACAGGCTGTGCAAAGGCTGTAATTTAAACGACAGGAATAACAAAAAAGTCATTCCCCTGGTTGCACACAACCACTCGTGCGACCCTGCCTTTATTTTACCGAAACTACATCTATTCGAGTCGAAAGATATCAAGGTTCTCGCCAGTAGTTGTCAACAGTTTAAGCGACTCGACGTGGGTAACCTACGGTTTCTCGATAGTCTAGCTTTCCTCCCCGCGAGCTTGGACGCACTTGTGCAGGACCTCCATTCCAAAGGCTTGGAAAATTTTCGCTGCCTTCGTGAAGCGTTTCCTCAACATATTGAGTTGCTGGCACGTAAGGGTGTGTTTCCCTACGATTACATAACCGACTTCAGCGTCTACGATGAGCCCGAGCTGCCACCACGTGAGTCGTTTTGCAACAAGCTTAACGACGCTCACATTTCTGAGAAGGATTATCACCATGCCCAAGTCGTTTTTGACACGTTCAAGTTCAAAAACGTGGGAGAGTACAGTGACTGCTATTTGAAACTCGACTGCTTACTTCTATCCGACGTAATGCAAAATTTTAGGAAATGGACCCTGGAAACCTACGAGATCGATCCCTTGCATTTCGTGTCGCTTCCTGCCCTCAGCTTGGCCTGTGCGCTTAAGCAAACAAAGGTCAAACTTGAGTTGCTCACCGACGTCGACGCATATCTTTTTATCGAATCGGGTTTACGAGGAGGAATCGTGCAATGTGCAATTCGACATGCGAGAGCTAACGTTCCAACCAGCGACTCGTTCGATCCTAACAAAGATGCTTCTCAAATGTTCGACCTCGATGTGAACGGTCTTTACGCATCAACGATGAGACAACCGCTTCCGTACGGAAATTTCCGATGGCTTGATCGCGAAGAAATCAATGCCCTTCAGTTCGCTCAGGTTTCAGACGACTCACCCACTGGTTACATCTTGGAGGTAGACCTAGACTATCCTGAGGAACTACACGACTCGCATGCAGACTTTCCTTTGGCTCCGGAAAAACGAGGGGTTCCTTTCGAATGGCTTTCGTCTTATCAAAAGGCGCTAGTGAAAAAAATTGGCCTACCCGAGAGAGAATCTGAACGTAAGCTTCTTTTAACCCTATTTCCCAACCGTAATTACGTTATTAATTTCCGAAACCTAAAGTTGTACCTGCAGCTAGGGTTAAAACTGAAGAAGATTCATCGCGTCCTGCAGTTTTCCCAGCGGGCCTTTCTAAAAGAATTGATCGACTTCAATCACGATCTGCGCAAGCAGGCTACCAACACCTTTCAGAAGAATCTGTCAAAGCTCTTTATGAACTCGATCTACGGAAAGACGATTGAAAATCCTCGCCAATACAACGACATTGTCATTAGCGTTTCCGAGGACGAAGTCGTAAAAAATCTGCAAAAACCTAACCTTAGACAATTTAAGCGATCGGTCTGAACGTGGTCATATTTAAATTTTCACAGAAAACTTTGCACCTGAACAAGCCCATATACGCAGGTTTCTCTATCCTAGAGATGTCGAAGATCGTCATGTACGATTTCTTCTATAATCAGATCAGGAGAGTTTTCCCGGATGCTCGCGCTGCATATTGCGACACGGACTCATTTATCCTCCAAATCAGCGGTCGGGACGTCGACGAGAGGCTCGCAGAGCTTACCGAGAGCCACCTAGATACTTCCGGTTACCCGTCCGACCACGCCTTGTATTCGCTTCAAAACAAAATGCGACTTGGAGTTTTCAAAAACGAGCTGCCGAAGGACCACATTCTAGGATTTGTCTGTCTTAAACCGAAACTCTATGCACTTGATCTAGAGTCTCAAGAACATTGTGTGAGGGCTAAAGGAGTAAAAAGATGCGAGTCGCGTAAGCTAACTTACGATCTCTACCTTCAGACTCTCGAGACACAAACTCTGCACACTGTCACCCAAAGAATCATTGCTCGTAAGCAAAATGAAAACAAAAGTGTCGTCGTAAAAAAATTGGATTGAACCCCTTCGACAACAAGCGTTTTATCGAAGACAACGGACTTTCGACGCTTCCTTACGGACATCTCAGACTCGGCGAAATGTCCTCCTCCAAGACAACCGGGTGTGTTCGATAAAAATGTAATCGCGGCAGTGTATTTTTTTTTTCTTTTGGGATGAAGGGAGTAATGATATGTTTCAAATCCTGGGAATGTCGCCCCCCCCCACCCTATGTACTCGATAAAAATGTTATTCCGACACTGTAATTTTTATTATTTTGAAGTTGTTGTGTTAATGTATTCTTATAATATGTTATATTGTAAGTGTGTATTCATGTCTGTTTTTTTTATGTAGAGCGTTTTCAATGCATATGAATGCATGCAATAAAATGATTCATGCTTTACTTTTTGTGTATGTTTTATTTGACTGAAAAGAGATTACAAAATGCTGCAGCAGGATAGCTCTAACTTGGGAGATGGAAATTGTTTCCGCACAAGTACAGATATCAAACGATCGTTCCATTGATGATCGGTTGGCGAGAACGCCTTGGTGCATTCGCGGAGTGGTACACCACAACACAGGAGAGCGCCAACGTATAGACAGTAAAGTCCACACGTACTTGACTTGAATCCTTGAATTCTCTTTTTGTTGAAGAAGAAGCTGGAAACGTTTCCGATAAAGTCGTAAAATTCTTCGTGTATTGGAATCATACCAAAACTGTCAAAATAACTAATCGAATTGTCCTTTGGATATATGAAAAAAAGAACCCAGTGTTCGCCGGAAGAAGATCTCGGTGCCGTGTTAAGTATGTAAAGACCCTGGCTTGGTCTCTCCTGGCCAATCTCGTCGCAAGAAAAGTACCGCGAAACCAGGGTCGCGTACACTGGTTGCCTGCAAACATCGAATAAAATTCGTGTTCTTCCATTTCTTCAATTAGCGATCCTGACCCGTCTCTCCTTGTCAATTTCCAAAACGCGTGGTGTTTCTGACATGAACAGGGTCGTGACTGCCTTATTTAGGTCTTGTTTGAAAGTCAGGGTGAGTCTCACATTGGCTGTGAGGATTGGACATAAACTCTGCTCTTCCCTGTCGGGAGTCAAAGTGTAGTAGAGAAGAAAAGAGTCTTTTGAGAAGGCACCTTTAGAGAACGGAACGTCTTTTCGACTGAGTCGATGCAGGAAGTTCATATAGGCCTTCATATAAAGATCCTGATTAAAATCGAAATTTTCCGTCTGCTGAGACCCTCCAACGTCTAGTACGGCCGTTTTCAGATTGAAGTGTTCAAATTTGAAGGGGTCGTGTTCGCGACTTCCCTGAAACGATTCACTCTTTACGAACGCGATGACGAGCTTAGATGGAACCCGATGAGGATAGAGGTCGTCGATAACGATATGTGACACACCGGGAGAAACGGTTCTGGTTTTGATCTCCACTCCACGTAGCAGGTATGATGTGGGAGTAGATTGCAATCGCCTTTCGATTCCGACAAGAACTGTCGGGGCCACTTGGACTCGTCGAATGTACAGAACGATGCGAGGAAGCTGAACAATGTGCTTTTGTTGAATCGTCGAAGCAGCCAAGAGTCTGAAATCTTCGGTATTTTGTCGCAGCACGATGCGGATGTCCACCCCGTTAAGTAGGAGCTTTTCTTGCTGGCAAATGTCGCTGAATATCGGACAGAACATGTCGCAAAGGGTAGATCCCTCGGTGCGCTTGAAGCGAGCGGCAAGTCCCTTGGCATCCGGCGGAATTTCCAGCTTTTCCGATGTATTGACTGGGTCCTTTTCGTAGAGCATCGCAGAAGGAGAATGATCTCTACTTACCTGGTTTGCATTAAGCAGAATATCAAGATATGAACGATAGGCATAGTTTTCGTACTGGCTGACAAGAGTTTGATTCAGATAAATGTGTAGGTATTGAAAGAGGGAGCTTCCAAAGGACTGAACCGGAATTACTTTATCGTTCGTAACCGACCCGTCGACTGCAACAGTGCTCGCAGGATCGCCATTAGCTCGAACGATTTTAGATTGAATGTGAAGGAAGCTCGATTTCAAATCGTAAAAGTGTGGACCCAAAGAAGGGACGTGAAATTCCAAAATGGACGTGGAGGTTGCACTAGCGACGGGAAAGAACTCAAGATATTCCGATTTTTCCAGGGCAAACGAAGTAGGCGGCAGCGATAAAAGTTCTAGTTCACCGGTTGTGCACAAACCGGATCGTTCTTGAAGGGTAAAGATACCGCTCGACATTCTCTAGGTGTCAAAAAAGTCTAGATCCTTCCGTCTCTTTTCTCGTGGGCAGACTGAGGAAGGTTTCTCGGTCTTCTTTCTTTTATGACCTGCACCGGAGAGCTTTTGCAGAAGCTCGTCCCTCGTGTTTCGATACGTCTTGCCAATTCCTTTTTTGAGGGCATCCCGAAGTGAGGAACCTTGTCTGACGCGCTCTGCTACGTCTCTGCCAGTGGCCACGAGTTTTCGACCGAGGTACGGTGCTACTCTCCTTGTAAACACCGGCGATATTCTTTGATAGATGTCGGACAGTAGACCGCTCCCCACTTGAAACAAAGGCCCGGACACAAAATGCGGCAAATGTTTCTCTCTGGAACCGGAAAAATGGTCCACACAGCACGGTGCAGACTTTACGTGCATTTTCTAAAATGCAGGGTTGCTGCGACACGACCGGATCCGTCTAGAAATGGAATGTAAGTTCCTTTCTCACCAACGAGGTCCAGACAAATGGTGTTGGCTTCCTTTACGATCACCCTCTTATATTGTAACAACTTGAATGAATACGACATCATCTCATTTCGCTTAGTCACCACGAAAGGTACGACTCTCAAAAGAGGGGCTTTCACATCACCAACGTGTTCCGCTTCTATGATATCGCAATACGTAAAAATGTAATTATTTGGTTATAATATGACTTCACGGTCTGCCACGGTAAAGGAGGTATACACGGTCTTTTCACCAAATCTGAGCATGTGTGACAAGTGCTGATTCATCAATATATATCCATTGTGATGCAACTGCAATGCTACGAGTTTTATGTAGGGGTTATGACGAAGCAACATTTTTGAGGGAGGGAGTTTGAGTGTAGATTGGTACGCACTGTTTATCGCATCAATGAGGTGTTCTGCCGATTCGTAGAAGCCCTCGAGAATCTCAATACGGTCCTGTGTCATGACGTGTTTAGCTCTTGTCAGCTCTATCTCAACCTCTTTATCGAACGTCAATTCCTCTACGGGACGGCCTTCCATAGACTGACCTATACCAATTATTTGCTCTGAAAAGCCAAGTTTTTCGGCTAAGAGAGACGACATGTGCAAAGCGTTGTTTCTCTGGAAGGTTATGGAATACAAGCTTTCTTTTCGAACGAGGCTCGCTTTGGGTCCGAACAATTCTCTCAACCCACTTCCCAACAACGAGAGGACGTCTTGTTTTGCAGGGATTCGAATCTTTTTGCTGGATTCCACATGCCCAGCGTCCGTTGGTCTGACCAAATAGATCTCGTTAGATGGCCTCCTCACATTCTTGATGCTAAATAGAAAATTTAATTCCTCTAGGGCGACCTCATACGGTTCATTTAAAAGGATAGGTTGGGACAGCTGTACCTTAAACTTACTTAAAGTATTATCGCGAAATATTTCACTGGAGGCATTGGAGAAAAGGTTCACATAAAATTGATTGCTCATTCTGCAGACCGATCGTGCACTCGGTCAACACAAGACTGACCGGGCCGATAGCGAGGCCCGATCTTTTCTATCCGACAAAATGAAACACAAATAAATTAAGATGACAATTTATTTCCACGAGTCCACACTATCCGCAGTGACCAGCCTGTATCGAAGAACATCCCGGCCAGCCGATACACGTAGGTTGCTTCGATGTGATAATTGCACCGCACTGACCGCTTGATGGTATGCACCGTGTCCGAGAGGAACTCCACCACGTCCGTTGTTTCCGCTTCGGTCACTCTGGACATCACCTTGCTCACCCATCCCGACAAGAATGTGAAAGGACCCTCGTGCGATGGCCACTCCTTGTCCTTTCCCTCGTAGTGCTCGTACACGCGGTACACTACACGGAACACAACTGGGTCCACTTCGTACGGAGGGAACTTTCCGAACACAATCAGATCGATGAGCAGTTCCAGTGCAGTCACAAAGAAGTCGTTGTTTGTGTTACGGGCTCCAGTGCAGACTTCTATCTCGCTCCAGCGAGTGTGTTCTTCCGTGCAACTAGTCAGACGACCGCTCGCAAACATCTTGACAGTTCGAACTTCACGACACGAATGGCATAGAGAGTTCGTCGCCTGGGTCATACGACACCTTACGAGCATGTCAACAGACTGAAGGTCAGTGATAAGATAAGCCGCAGGACTCGCGACATCTTGTGGGAATATCACCAACCACACGGCACACGGCGCCATCCAGCGGCGTGTCCCCACACTTTCCCACGAGTCAACGACGTAGGC